CCGATATTCACATGGATTCCTGTTTAATCAAACCTCCCACTCCACAAGCTAATAAAAGTGTCACACAGATTGTTACAAAGAACTATTGTTATTTACAAGTCTACATTTTCTGTGAAATCAAAACATAATAAAGTGAATTTTCACTGTTGACTTTGTTATTTTAAACTTATGATGTCTTGCCAAAGCCTCTGGTGAAAAAAAATCCTTGCAGGTTATAGGGATTATCCCCTTGTCTTTCTCAGGACCACACTTAACACAACTTGATCAAGAGGTGTCTTTCAAGTTTGTAAAGATTTTCAGGGAAGACCATTGACTTATCTTACTGATAACTACTCTAGTGAGCTAATGGGTAAGACTTATATTCTAGACTGAGAAATTATTCTAGGGTCTCCACCCTGTGTTCCCCTGTGGTTATCATGTAAGGGCCTGTGCCCTCTTGATGCCAGCATGCTTTGTCAGTGCTTATAAATTCAGTGTGTCTCCACAGCAGCTAGTTCCACCCCCGGTGAGTTCTCTGAATGGTTGTTTCCCATGTATGTGCTTGCTCTGGGTTTCAGCTTGATTAAAAACGTATAAAATCCCTCTCTCTTTTATTGGGATCTGTGCATCCTGATTGTGTGTGCTGCTTATATACATGCAGCAAAAGCTTAGAACATGGAAATAAACTCTCCCCAGCAAAGGAAATCGATCCCCCTGGTGAACTGTTTTGGGGTGACCTAACTAAGCAAGATCTGACTCTGAATTTCAAGCACTCCAAGGTGGCTCCATGGTCAGACTGCTCACTGTCCCTCCAGGATTCCATTGTTCTATCCAGAAACTCCCCTGCTCAGATGATCTGAAGAAGAGGTGGTGTGACATGTGTCTGTGTGTGTTTTGCAAAGGGCATTTCCCCCAACATTTTTGCCTAAACATTGTCAATTAAATTTCCCTGATACCTAGCCCTTTGGGTGAGAGGGCTGTGCTGCACGTTGTAAGACCTGGTCTCTACCCATTAGATGCCAAAAGCAATTTTCCTGCTTTCCAGTTGTGACAACCAAAACTGTCCCCAGTGAGGGGAGGAGGTGGCAAGAGGTGAGAGTGGAACTGTTCCTGGCTGAGAAACACTGATTTAACACTTTGGGTTAAGTTCTCTATGCAAATGCAAGTCAACTATATCTCTGCCATGTTCAGTTAGAAATACCTCACTGGGAATATTAGTTTAACGGAATGAGCTCTCAGTATTAGTGTATCAAACCAATTGGGAAGGAATCTCTGGAAAGGGTATAGTCGTAGAACCCATCAGCATCACTGGCAGAATGAGGCAGGCTGAGACTTAAAGCTCACTTAGGCAACACTATGTGCTCCCAGATGGCGGGAATCAAAGGAAGGAGGGAAGTTTAGCAAGGGGAAACAATAATGTGGTTTTAGGAGCTGGCAGCAAAATTCTTCTTAGGAACTCCGCAGTTTCACAACACTCAGTGGGAAAAACAAGCCCAAGATACAGCCTGGAAGGTGGAGGAGTGAGAATGCTCTAGCTCTGCCTAAAAAAGTTGAGTAATTTTGAATTTCTCAGGACAGAAAGGAGGGTAATAACAAAGATGGGATACTGCAAAATAGAGAAATTCTGAGTTTCAAGCAAAGAGACAGTGAGAACTTCCAGTTTAAGGTGGGGTGGGGGAATCATCCGGAGAGTTGTTCATCAAAAGAACTCCATTGCCGCCCCCCCCCCCACACACACACACATTCTGACAGATGCCCTTATTCCAGGTAACCCTAGCCTTGTATGGGTGATATTTTAGTGGCATGAAGAAATCAGAGTGCTGTCCAACATGTGCCAATGAAGGTGGGAAGGGTAAGCACAGGCTGAATGAAAGATGGTGTAAAGTAGAGAAAGAAAGAAGCCTGAGTGATAGACCAAATAAAGGGTAAACCCACTGGCTGAAGAATTTGGGGTAGATAACTGGCTGAAAGAAGGAAGAAGAAAGCCTCTTCTTTTACTTGACAAATTTTCATGGGCCAAACTGAATTTATATTTTAGGTTGCCCATAGAAGTGAAGAGCAGATGACAATCACTTGGATGAATAAAAACTATCCGTTCCGCGATGCTATTATCTAATTCTAGATAATATAGCATGACTGAAATCCAATAAACATGATCAACTGACCAATTAGACTATTTTTGACTCTTAATTTTGTAATTTCCGAGTAGTGAGTGACCCCGTGAAAGCCCTTGTGCTTGAGTCATAGGCTGTGGGTTTCCCCAGGCCATCTACCCACCCAATCTTATGTTAATAGTATTTCAGTCTTTCCCAAGTTCCACAAATGAGAGTAATCACATTACTGCCCATAAACCCAATTCAAATAATAAATGATGAAGATACATCCAGTATCTGTTCAGCTGGATTGCTCACACTGGTCACTTCAGCAGAGGCTGGGAAGCTTGGCAAACCCAACTGTAGATGTTTAGGGGCTTCTTGTTACAGGTGGAGGTGATACACCAGCCAAGTAGCAGGAAACACAGAAAAAATCTGAATTGGAGACTCTCAAAGTCTACTGACTCATATAAACTTTGTTGTCTGCCCCTTGACCATTATTCTCCAGTAGTAATGAAGACTTCATGAAAGACCTTGAGCTCTGAGTCGTCACTGTGGAGTCACACTTAAGACAAACATTCCCAGCCTAGTAATACAAATAAAGGAGAGAGGATTAATTTTCCTATATGTTGCTGTAACTATAAACAATACCTTACCTTCTCAGCAACTCTCATGAAATAATAAGCACTAATGTTTTTTAAAGTATTTCCACCAGCCCTTGGAGATTTTATTAGAATCATGATTCACAGATGAGAAAGTTCCCTCTTCTACAGGATTTAGTAACTGGAGTAAGAATTTCTCAGTAGACTGTCTATACAGACAAATGCATTTGCCAATTTCTGCCTATTAACCATTCATTCACTGAACCATTCAATTGGTGATCTTTTTTTTCTGAACTGACTGAATAATTGGGTCAAGACGATCCCTCTGGTTTGCATTTATAGACATATTATTAAACAGTTTGTGAAAGTTATGTTGTTCTCTCATATGGATATGGGACTTCAACAGAGGAGTGAGGTTCCGAGACACCTCCAGGATACTAAGAGTGAGGATTCATGGAATCAGAATGTCAAATTTGGAAGGAACAATGCTCATTAAATTATTCCAAACTCCTCACATTTGATTCATGGGAAAACAAGAGAAATTTCATGGTTTGGACTCTGCTGTAAGCAAGGCACTGAATCATCTTCAGGGAGGAACAGTCATTCTTCACTCAATCAGTCTGTATTGGACATCTCCTGTGAGTCAACTGTGTGCTATATACTGGAAATGTAATAGTGACTAAGACCGAAGTGCCCTTGCTCAGAGCCTTCTGGGAGGGCTAGCATGGAACATCCACACTTCTTACAAGTACTTCCACATGCATGATGGGATTTAGTCCTTAGAACCACCCTTAGATATAAATATAATTACCCTCTTTTTTGAAATGAGGTAAGTTTCAGAAAGACTTAGTAATTTGCCCAAGGTCATAAAAAGGCTCATAAGTAGCAGAGCCTGTACTCAAATATTTGTCTTCTCTCATTCCAGTGTCCTTCCCAGTATATCAGAGCTCCCTCTGATTAAAACTCAAGTGAGAAGTATTCTTCCTAATGGGCTGTTGAAAATTACTTGGTTGATTTCATGACCATATTCTCCAAATGTAAATGAGGATGGGTAGACTGCAAGGGGATTTCTGATTTCATTTATGTGCAATCCAGGCAGCAAATTATATGTAAGTACACACTTAATAAAATTGTACTAGAAAGCAAGAGACTTTCAGTTATACATTTAACAATGTATTTTATTTAAAATAAATTAGTTTTGAGATTATCCTACAAAATCTGGCATACCTTGTCATAAGAAATCTACTTCATCATGTGTAGATTCAATACACAATTGAAGATGGTTCAAAAGTATTATCTACTCAAACATGGTATGAATCATGATTTCTTTATTATGAGTTTTCCCCAAACTCTTACCTAATGTTTGATTACCCGGATTGAATTAACATGCCAATAATTTTAAAAAATATTTTTCATACATCTTGCTCTCTCACCCATGTGAACCATTAGGGGAAAAAAAAGACACCTGCTAAGAAGGGTTCCTGGTGTCAAACTGGGCTCAAATTTAAAAATCAGAGCCTAGCAGCCATTTCTGCATAGGGATCTCTTCTGACAACTGCACTTCTTGGAGAGGCCTCTACCCTATACTGC